CAAAGAAGACAACCAAATGCCCACAGGCACATGAAAAAGTGCTCAACATCGCTCGGCATCAGGGAAATCCAGATCAAAACCTCAGTGAGATACCACCTCACACCAGTCAGAATGGCTAAAATTGACAAGTCAGGAAATGACAGATGTTGGCATGGATGCAGAGAAAGGGGAACCCTCCTACACTGTTGGTGGGAATGCAAGCTGGTGCAGCCACTCTGGAAATAGTAGGGAGGTTCCTCAAAAAGTTGAAAATAGATCTGCCATAGGATCCAGCAATTGCACTACTGGGTATTTACCCCAAAGATACAAATGGAGGGATCCGAAGTGGTATGTGCACCCCGATGTTTATAGCAGCAATGTCCACAATAGCCATTGTGGAAACAGTCAATTGTCCATTGACAGAGGAATGGATAAGAATTGGTGGTATATATATACAATGGAATATTATGCAACCTTCCAAAGGAATGAAATCTTGCCATTTGCAAGGACATGGATGGAACTGAACGGTATTATGCTGAGCGAAATAAGTCAATCAGAGAAAGACATGTATCATATGATCTCACTGATATGAGGAATTCTTAATCTCAGGGAACAAACTGAGGGTTGGTTGCTGGAGTGGTGGGGGTTAGAGGGATGGGGTGGCTGCGTGATAGACATTGGGGAGGGTATGTGCTATGGTGAGTGCTGTGAATTGTGTAAGACTGTTGAATCACAGACCTGTACCTCTGAAACAAATAATACATTATATGGTAAAAAAAAAAAAAAAAGAAGATAGCAGGAAGGGAAAAGTGAAGTGGGGGAAATTGGAGGGCGAGATGAATCATGAGAGACTATGAACTCCTAGAAACAAACTGAGGGTTCTATAGTGGAGGGTCTTGGGGGGATGGGTTAGCCTGGTGATTGGTCTTAATGAGGGCACATACTGAATGGAGCACTGGGTATTATATACAACAATGTATCATGGAACAGTCCATCAAAAACTAACGATGTAATGCATGGTGAGTAACATAACATAAGAAGATAAAAAATTTTTTCAAAAAAGATGATAAAAGATGATAAACTTTCTTTTAATTTTACCCAGCTTCCCATATGTATGGGTTGATTTTTTATGAAAAGATCATTTTACTCATGTGGCTCAAATTATATCAGGTAAACACTTTTAATTCCATGGCTAGATCTCGGATTATAAAATAAAACTATGCCACTGATATGATCAATTCTGTATTCCTTTGGGATCATATTACTAATTTATTATTGTACATAAGCTTTGGGTAACTAGATTTGTGGACTATATTGCTGCTGAGAGTAATTTGATCATCTCTGTACCTACTAGAACTAGTGACTTAGCAAATTTATTTTGCCTTTGCAAACAAAGAAACAAACAAAAACCCCCAGAATATGAGAAATAGCTTTCTTTCCTTATCCCAGATGCCTTTCCTCTATCCAGTCTTTGAATCTGTACTTCACTTTCATTTATATGCTTTAAACACAAACACATACACACAGAACATTAAAAATGTCAAGGTCAATGCTAGGTATAGTGATTAATACCCATGCCTTGGATTTCTTTTAATGTTTTAACTAAATCCTGTGCATATGTAGACTATGAATACATTGGGTTCAGAAGAGTCTGAAATAGTTTTACGGATAGGGAAACTGAGCCCCAGTGAAAGGAAATGATTTTCGTATGTTTATATAGGATTTCTGGGACAGCAGCGTAATACCCAGTTTTGTCTTTTTAAAATCTAATTGTGTTTCTGCTATGGCATACTATAAAAATTCTTTCTTTTTCTCCATAGTTCAATACGTATTTAAGAGTCTTGAACTTTAGTTTCAAAGATACATTATTCATGTAATTATTATCTTGCACTGAAACTACTTAACGATATAGGTTAATGAAAACGGCTATACAATGTGATCTACCTCAGGCAGCTTGTATTAGTTTCTTATTACTGTTGTAACAAATTATGATGAACATAGTGGCTTTTTTCTAACAAAAGGAATTTATTATCTTAGAGCTCTGGAGGTCAGAAATCCAAAATTAGTCTTACGGAACTAAAATCAACATGTCAGTAGAGGTGCATTATTTTTGGGAAGCTGGAGGGAAGAATTCATTCCTTACCTTTCCTAACTTCTAAAGGATGCCTGCATGTCTGGGCTCATTGCCGTGCATCCCTACAGTTTCTACTTCTGCCATCACGTCTGTGTCTCTGACTCTGACGCTCCTACCTTAGTCTAAGGACTGTTGGGATTACCAACCCAGAAATTTCAGGATAACCCCCTTGTCTCAAATCCCTTCTTAACTTAATCACATTTGCAAAATCCCTTTTGCCATCTTAAGTTACATGTTCACAGACTTGGGAGACTAGAGGGTGGACATCTCTGGGGGGCATTATTCAGCCTGCCACAAAGTTCTAGCATAGGGACCCATGGAAGTCATGGAGATAGTCTTGGAGAGACAGACTGTGAGGGCCCTCAGAGGGGATGCTACAGAGCGTGAGATGAACCCCAGCAGCAAGGAGGACTTAGTAAATAAAGGGTTTTAAGCAAAGGAGAGGCATGATCCAAGAAGTCACTGGAGTGTGGAAAATAATTAAGGAGATGAGAGTGCAAGCAAACATTTCTGAGGAGGATTTTACTGAACTTGAAGGCCAGCTGCATTTAGGGTGAATTGTCAGGGGAAGGAGCTGCTACTAATTGAGGATGTATTCAAGATAATCATGTAGTGTTTATGTTTATAAAGTTTTTCCTGGTTCAGATAAAGAAACCTGAACATATATTTACACAATGGGGGGGGGGAAGCAAGATTTTTAAAACATTAGAGTGAGAAAGTATCTTAATAAATCTCTGACTTATTTTCAAGATAAGGAAACTGAAGGGCAGAAGGGAAAAGCCTACATAACCACCACATACAAAGGGCCAGTTTCCTCCAATAATTACAGAATTTTCTGGTCAAATTATAGCTAGTTTGTCACCGTTAAATATATATGGCTTCAAGGACACTAATTTTTTTATTGTTTTGTTTAGTGTGCCTTTTTTTCTCTCCTGCAGAAATTTTAGTGTGTATATTTTATAGTACTCTACCTTTGAAATAGTGCTTACATGGAAACACAATTTACATTGAATGATTCAGGAGTCAAAATATATAGAATTAGAGTCATAATAATTTTCCTTTATAACTGTAGAGAAAGTCACAAGATTTTCAATGACAGAGCTGAGCCAGGTCTCAAGCCCAGACCTCCCAGTTCCTGGGCTCCTGGTCCATCCCACTTTGGCTTCCCAGAACTTCCATGATTTTCTGGTGATTCTGTTTAAGTAGGCATTAAAACCACCAGCCACTAAGAAAGCACTTTTCACCTTACATCAGTGATACACTTAGCTGGAGAAGAAAATCCAGGAGAGTAGGCAGGTGTGCATGAGGGGGTGGGGAGGTTGAGAGGTACACAGCTGGCTCATCCTCTGCCTGAAAAGGACTGTGAATGTTCACCCATTCCTACAAGTCATGGGACAAGTTATGAGGAATCTCGTGTCATTTCCAGGGTAGGTGAAATAGGCACAACCTGCCATGCCATGTGAACCAGCTGCTAAATAAAATGACATGGAACCTCCTTAGCAGCTCCAAAATAGTCAGCAGGAAGTTTGTTGTTTCCATGGACTGCTGCAAAACTCACAATATGTATAACTAGTTGCCGTGTGAAGATATCAACCAAGAGAGCCAGGATAAAGTTAATAGATAAAGATAATTTTTTCCAAATGGAAATCACTAAAGATACACAATTTTCAAGTTACAGAAGGACAAGTTTTCTGTGTGGTATTTTGGTTTTTGAACATGCAAAGCACAGATAGCAAGGTAGAAAGAAAGAAAGGAAGAAAGAAAGGAAGGAAGGAAGGAAGGAAGGATGGAAGGAAGGAAGGAAGGAAGGAAGGAAGGAAGGAAGGAAGGAAGGA